GCATTACATTAATACATTTGATTGCATTCAAATATGAAGTTTTACAGATCTTCGTACGAAAAAAGAAGATTCATGATGGAAAATACCTTACAAAGAAGAAGGTAGAATTCAAAACCTCAAATACAGGAATCACGTAAACATCTGAAGAATAGATGGTCGCAATTCACATAAGAAGCATTATTTTGAAATGGGGCATGTTACCCAATCAACAAGTTATTTTGAAAAATGAGAAAACGATTTCCAAAGTTTCTCATTTAATCTTTTCTGAAAATGAAATTGTTGAATGGTAAGAAAACGATTTCCAAAGTTTCTTACTTAGTAAACTATTTCCCACATCCATAAGACCTACAGTGCATGATGTGTTCAAAAAGCCTTCGGGAGCTTTTTTATATTTAAAGCCTCCGGGTCATCTGTAAGACCTATAGTGTAAGATGGTAAGACCTCAGGGACATCCATAAGACCTACAGTGCAGGATGTGCTCAAAAAAGCCTTCAGGAGCTTTTTGATATTTAAAACCTTCGGGTCATATGTAAGACCTACAATACAAGATGATAAGACCTCAGGGCCATCTATAAGACCTACAGTGCAGGATGTGTTCAAAAAAGCCTTCGGGAGCTTTTTGATATTTAAAACCTTCGGGTCATCTGTAAGACCTACAGTGCATGATGATAAGACCTCAGGGCCATCAATAAGACCTACAGTGCATGATGTGTTCAAAAAAAACATTCAGGAGCTTTTTGATATTTAAAGCCTTCGGGTCATCTGTAAGACCTACAGTGTAAGATGATAAGACCTCAGGGCCATCCATAAGACCTACAGTGCAGGATGTTTTCAAAAAGCCTTCAGGAGCTTTTTGATATTTAAAACCTCCGGGTCATCTGTAAGACCTACAGTGCAAGATGATAATACCTCAGGGTCATTCATAAGACCTCTTGGCAGAATGTTTTCAACATTTCCATCCTACTCAAAAAAAGCTAGATGAAAAAAATTATTGTCTTTTTCGTCTTTGCTCTATTCTTGTTAACACAAGAATGACCAAAGAGGGGCAACTGTAAACACTATATTTTCATTTTACTTTTATTATTATTAATATATTATTATTATTATATTATTATTATTATTATTATTATTATTATTATTATTATTTTATAAATTATTACAAAGCAAGCCCAAATACATTACAAGCTCGTTTACAACACAGGCCCGATCCAGTCCAGAATCGGCCTAAACTAGATGGAAACCCTAAACCCATTTAAGATTTGTAACCCTAGCGCCGCTGCCGCCTTAGCTATCCACAGCCACTGCCGACGCTCCACTGCCAGGTGATCCAACCAGCTTCTGCCACCCTCTTCGAAGCCTCCAGATGGCCACCCACGTTGAAGCTCTATGGTGAGTCACCGCCATAGCTTGGTGACTCACCGAAAGTCCCCTCTGTGACCGGTCCAAGGCAAGCTCCGTGGTGGCTATAAAAGCCACCAAACCTATGAGAGAGAACAGACGGAGCCACAAAAAGAAGAACGAGCAACCATAGAGCAAACAACCATACATATACGGCAACGAAAACCAACCGAAAATATAAGAGTAAAGAAACTTACCTCCGGGGAGAGCTTAAACGTCGCCGTTACCATCGCTTAATCGAAGGTAAAAACCTTCGGTTATTTTAGATCTAAGATGATCTAGGCGTTTTTAGGTAAAACAAAGGCTATATTCGGCCTTAGGATCGAAAAAAGGAGATTCGAAAGTGTTTTCCTGAATTCCGGCCACCGTTCAGCCGGTCGAAAATTAGACTCCCTCCGGTGGAGGGTTTTAGAGAGAAGGCAGAGAAAAAAATTCTCTCATTTAGAGAGAGAAAGAAAATAGAAAAATGGAAAAAAATGGCCTTAGAGGGCCAGTTTTAAGGTATTTATACCCCTCCCCGAATGATGTCGTTTTGGGAGAGGGGTGCCTGTGTAATTTCGCGCGTGGAAAACCCTTTCTGTAGTCATCCCAGTTTGTAATTTAGTCACTGGAATTGATTTTCTGGTATATATATATATATTTGTTTAAATAATAATATTTATTTATTTTTAAATATTAAGAAAGGGCAGTCTTAATATAACTAAATATCCTATTCTGGTATTTTAAATAAATAAAAATTATAAAAATTATATATATTTAATTTAGTTTTATTTAAATTATTTTTTAGGAAAAATTATCACATTTTTAATATTTATTTATTTTTTAATATTAAGAAATGGGCTTTCTTAAAGCAACTAAATGTCATTTTCTCATATTTTTAAATAAATAAATACTTTATTTATAATTTATAAAAATCAGTTTATATATGTTTATTTTAAAATTATGCGATTGAATTTGGAATAAGCAGATCATAAATTAAATTTATTTAAATTCTTAAATTCACTATTAGAGACAATTTATAATCGACATGGACCAATTTTGGGCGTTGTTGGGGTGCTAATCCTTCCCCAAACGTAATCGACCACGAATCCCTTTTTATTATTAAAAAGAACGAATTTTTGGTTAAACGCAGACCGATTTTTCTTTTAAATTATTTTTTTCTTAAAAACTCTTTTAAAAGATGATTTTTAGGTATTCGACCTACCTAACCCAAAAAGGTCGATGGCGACTCCAAAACATTTTAATAAAAATCATTTATTTCATTCACATTACTTTTCCACCAAGGAAATTTTGTACCCGGGCAAAAACCGGTTACGGCAGTTTGGCGACTCCGAAACATTTTAATAAAAATCATTTATTTCATTCACATTACTTTTCCGCCAAGGAAATTTCGTACCGGGCAAAAACCGGTTACGACACCTACCAATAAGATATGTGTTGTTGTCTTATTGGTAGGTATTAATTTATTAAAAAGATGAGACAGAATGACCATAATAAAAACGATATTAAAGTTCAGTGACTCCAATATTAAAGTGTACTAAAACTTCAGAGATCACCAGTATAATTTACCCTAATTTCCCTTTCTTTTGTGCTTCATTAAAAAATTCTTTCGTTTCAGTTACGTTGTCAATCTTGTAATTCCACACCTTTTCCCATCTAACTCTGGTTTTGGTATGAATTGTCACAAATATTCTCAATAAGAAAGTAAACCCCCAAATTGAAAAGTAATACATGTTCTTTCCTTTCTTGAAGGGTTTGTATTCTTCTATACAATTGACATGAAAATGAGTATTTGCATGGATCAGAGGAGTGGGCGAAGACAATCGTCCTCTGAAAATTTTAAATTATCATATATTTTTAAAAAAAAATTATATTTTTTATTGATAATATATTTTCGACTCCTAGAATTTTATAATTTCTTTCCTTATTAAAATTTTAAAAATTTGTTCTCTAACATAAAATCTTGTGCCGATCCCTAAATATTTGGTGAGTACACAAATATCGACAGTTTAGGTATCAAATTATGATAACTGCAGCTGCTGATGAATTGCTCCGTCACTTCCATAATTCCACAAAACTCAGATGACCTGTTCCTATTTCGTTCTATTTGTTTCCTTCTGCAATCAGGGACTAACAAATGAATAATGGTAACGAAGTTAGTTCCATGCATGAAAATCAAGCATTGTTTAGAGAATTTTTACCAGTGATTTAATTTTAAAAAAATGGCATCTGCTATGAGTAGTTAACCAACTTTAACAAAGATCCAATGAATCTCGAAAACAATGTCCACATTTTGTGTTAATCTTTTCAACAAAGTTGTTAACATAATCCTTGAAGAGATTTCTTTTCAACTATCAATCTTATTTAACTACTTTTGTGATCTCATAAGCTTGATTTATGTGCTGGGTTGCTAAATACTTGCATGATTTCTTATATTTAATAAATTATCAATTTTTAATTGGGTTAATTGCACCCCGTGATCACATAAGGGCCGGGATATTCAAATCTGACCGCCAGTCATTTAGTTTTGTCAATCAAGCCTCTTCTCGTTAACATTTGACAGATGAGTTGACATAATAGTTAACAAAATTAATATAATTATATATTTGGTCCTCATTACTTATATATTTTATCAATTTTATCCTAATTTTAATTGAATTCAATAAATTACTTGTGTCCCTCGTAAACATAAAATTGATAGAATGTTTAAATAGTGAGGATCAAATGTGTAATTATACTAATTTCATTACATGTGCTACACCAGCTCTTCCGTCAAATGTAAGTGTGGCTTGATTGACATCATTTAAGTTAAGTAGACTGATTGACAAAATTGCATGACCAATAATTAAATTAGAATTAATCTATAGTTAAGCGATCGCGGATATAATTTATCTTGTTTAATATTATACTTTTAGTAGAAAATAAATTCTCTAAATATATAAGAAATTAATAAAGTATAATTCATATCTTACTTCCAATCCCCAACATTCAAATATTATATATATATTAAAAAATTAAATTTACTGAATGGTCTATAAATGAAAGAAATGTTATTTTTTTAAAACATCTAAATCTAAACAATTGTGTTTTCTGTTTGTAGAATGTGTGCACATTATTAATTATAGGCGAAAACATTAAGTCTCATATGGGTCAAGTACATCCTATTATTTTAGAAAAATGGTTAAATTTAATTTAACGTGTTAAGAAAAAATAAACAATTTTATACATCCATTATTTTTGGGGAAAAAATTAAATTTTTAAATCATGTTCTTAAATTTCTAGATGTGCTACTATTATTAATATGATAACCTGAATTGACCCGCTACCCGAATACTGCATTTTTCAATTCAACATTAATGGTAATATAACTAAAACCTTTGAATATCCACCCACCCAATAGGACACTGTTTGAATTATTATTTAACTATAAAAAATAATTATTTCTTAAATTTAATGAATATTCGGTTGCCAGTTACGATAAAATCTAGTCAAATTTGTCTTGCCAAAAGTACAGTGGACCTAGAAATATCTTCTATACAGAAAAAAGAACACATGCACATGATGTTGGACAAACAGGATTAGGGGGGGAAAACATCTACACATTCCGTATCAATTATGAACCACCATTACATACAAAAATATGTACATATGATCTGTTTAACATATACTGAAGTAAGAAACTAAGTTTGAATGTGAAAACTTACAAAGCGTTGCTTCTGCTCCATGTTGGAGAGCAGCAAAATCTGGAGTAATATGCACAACAGAACCTCATTACCACGAAAAGTTGTCGATTTTCTACTGTTTTTTCTAGCCGTACAATGGGAGTTTCGTGTAGTTCCGATCAAACGTTAGACGCCACCTTGTCAAGCCAAGAAACTAGCTGCTGAGTTGTAGGCCTAACTTTCGGACTTTCGCTTAAACAAAGGCAAGCGATTTCGAGAACCCGCAACATTTCCTTATCATGCTGCTTACAATAGATTAATGGATCAAAAACCTCACTCTCCTGGTTTTCCATCTTCATGCACATCACCCAAGAGATTAAATCCCAGGTATCCTTTGGCTTGCACATATCCATTGGCCTTTTCCCGGTCAGGAGCTCCAAAAGAACTACTCCGAAACTGTACACGTCACCTTTATAGGTTGCAACCGAAGCTTGTCCGTATTCGGGAGGAATGTAGCCCAATGTCCCTACCAGATCAGTGCTTACGTGGGTATCATAGGGAAGTATGAGCCTTGCAAGGCCAAAATCAGCTAAGTGAGCTTTAAAGTTCTCATCTAAAAGAATGTTACTCGACTTTATGTCTCGGTGAAGAATATGAGGCTCACATGACTGGTGCAAATAAGCTAGACCCCTAGCTGCCCCTTGTGCGATTTGCAGCCTTGTTTCCCAATCAAGCATGGAAGGTCCGTCGATCTTCTCGTGCAACCAATAGTCCAAACTACCATTTTCCATGTAAGAGTATATTAAGAGCCTGTCATTTTTATGCATGCAGTATCCTTGTAGATGGACTAGATTTGGATGCTGAGCTCTTGAAAGTGCTTCCACTTCAGCGTGGAATTCTCTATCCATCTGACCACAATCATCGGAAAGTCGTTTAATGGCAACCTTACGACCATCGAGGAGAGTGCCTCTATAAACCAGACCAAAACCCCCACAACCGATGATATTTGCTTGGTCAAAATTGTTGGTTGATTCCAGAAGGTCATCAATGCAAAGCTCTTTGTAGGATTCCCAATTTTGGAAGAGCACCACTAGCCTTGAACTGAGTTCTTCTAAATCTTTACCATTGGCGTCAGGCTCCTCTTTCTCTGGATCAACCTCTTTGCGTTTATGTGTATGCAAAACAAGCACATAAAGAAGGCCAATTAGAAAAGATGTCCCGAGTATGACTCCGACAACCATGCCAATGATGGTATCTTTGCTACTTGATCGTTTTGGGGACTCATGACGACCTTCACTTGCATTTTCTTGACAATTGAACAGATGATCACCACAAAGATTGTTTCCTTCAAAGCTTGAATTTGGAAATGTCTGAAATTGGCCTCCAGAGGGGATCTTCCCACTAAGCCGATTGTAGGAAACATTAAAGGCTGACAAAAAACTGAGTCTTTCCAGTGAAAGTGGTATGGTACCTGATAAGTCATTATGTGACAGATCCAGAATCTCCAAGCTGATCATCTCGGATAAGTTTCCTGGAACCGGTCCAGAGAAATTATTGAACTTCAAATCAAAAACAATGAGGTTTCTCAGATTCCCAAACTCGGGCCAAATCGGTCCCCTAAGAGAGTTGTGGCCAAGTACAAGTGTTGGTGGAAAACTCCTAATTCGATTATACTGCAATCCCCTCCCACTTTCATTCCTTCTCATGAAGAAAGGAAAATCTGGTGAAGGTTCCTCCAATGATATATTTCCATGAATGAGGCTTGGTAATTCAGTTAAGCTCTTCGGGATCTCTCCGGTAAATGAATTGTTTGATAAGTCCAAGTAAAACAGATCTCTATAGCTTCCAAGCCACGGCGGAATCATTCCATCCAGATGGTTCCAAGACAAATCCAACAACTGAAGAGCCGTAATACTTCTCAACCATTGGGGAATAGAACCTTTAAGTTTACAGCTCGCAATAACAAGAACCTTCAACTTTCCAAATCGCAGATTACGATCGTGAGGAACAGTCTCACCGGCAAAATTCAAGGTAAGAACCAAAGCAGTTAGGTTCCTACACTGCTGCAGAATCTGAAGAGCAGAGGAGATATTACGGAGGCTCGAATTCGAGAATGAAAGATAAGCGAGGCTATGAAATTCCCTGAAGCTCTCAGGGATTTGGCCACTGAAAATATTTCGGGCAAGATTGACATTCCTCAACTGTCTGCACAAGGGAAGATTATCTGGCACAGGCCCGGTGAACTTGTTGGTAGCCAAATCCAGAGAATTCAAAGCAACCATAGCTGAGCAATTAAGATATATAAATCCCTCCAATGAATTATTCCTCAAATTCAGCAAACTAATAGTTGGAGAATTGGATACTGAACTGGGAATTCTACCACTAAATCTATTTGAATGGGCTACAAGAAACTGAAAACTCTTCATCTGACCAAAAACATCAGGGATCTCTCCAGAAAAATTATTCGAAGAAATATCTAATCGAACAAGGTTAGAGAGATTAGCAATACCGGGACTAAGCTTCCAACCAAGGTTGTTATACTGAAGCCCCAAAAGCTTCAAATCTTGGAGCTGAAAGATGTCTTCAGTTATCCCACCAGTGAGATGATTTGTTCCAAGATTAAGTTCTTCCAAGAAAGAGCATTTTCCAAGCCCAGGTAAAATATCACCAGAGAAATAGTTCACTGCCATATCAAGGAACCGAATTCGAGAAGAATTAACACATATATGGGAAGGGAGGGAACCATTAAAGTAATTCGAAGAAATATCAAAGCTTCGAATTGAAGGAAGATTGATGCTCTCCGGGATTGGCCCAGAAAAATCATTATTGCTCAAGTCAAGTTGCTCCAAATTCGGCATACGAAACAAAGACAGTGGCAACGAATCTTTAAGTAAATTGCGGGAAAGATTGAGAATTTTAAGCTGATCTAAACCAGCCAAAGCATCGGATAATTTGCCTGATAATCTTTTCTTCTGAAGCTCCAACTTGATTACTCTACCGGCAGACTGAGGCTCGCAAGTTATCCCTTCCCAGCCACAACAATCGGTCGATGAATCCATGGTCCAACCTTCAAGTTTCGTTGTCAAATTTCCCATGAAATATTGAAGAGCAGTCAAGTCCTTAAAATTGCATGTCAGGTTCTGAGAAACAAGTACCTGAGCTTGCAACAAGAACCCAAGAATTACAAACAGAACCCAACAATCTTGAGCAGCCATATTAACAATAAAGATTGAAACTTTATAAGCTAAAGATGAAAAAACAAGCAAAACCCTTCACCAAAAACAATTTTTCCGATGTGGGTTTTCGTTGTTAGAACAAAGGAGAGAGAAAAAAGCTCAAAACGTAAGGGTAGGTTGTTTTTGACAAGGAGAAGAGATCATGAAGTTGGGAAAAGAAAGAGGAAAATGGTGACTTTGACTTCAACACGGGTATGGCCATATGGGGGATTTTCGGGCCTTTCGGCTTTTGCCTTTTGCCTTGCTTTCTCTATTTAATCTCTCTTCCGTGTTCCTACCATGTTAGCATTTCTTTATTGATTTTCTGGGTAAACTAACTTCTATGTCACTAAAGTATGAACACAATTTCATTTTGACTATTAAACTAAAACGTTTGTTAATCAAGTCATTAAACTTTATCTTGATATAAACCAAGCCATCTTTTGTTAGGTTTCAACATAATTGATTATGTGGATCCTAATTGACATAATTCTACCAGTTTAGTTTTAATTTTAATTAAAAATAATTTATATTCTAAAAAGCTTTGAGTTTAGAAGGGATTAAATCTGAAATCTAAATTAATACTTAATCATTTTAATAAGTTAAAAAATTATTAGATGATTAACAAAAAATCTTCTTTAAATTAAATTTTATTTAGTATTTTTATAAATGTTCAATCGTACTTAATTTAAAGTAATCAATGATAATTTGTTTTTCCAAAACACATACATTTTGTTAAGAAAAATCATTTTCGAACCTAAAATGGTTTCAGTAGGTTAGTGATTCTTCTGAAAAAGTTTCGAACCTAAAAAATATTTAGGGTAAATTACACTGATCCTCACTCTACTTTACTCTGTCTCCTATTTTTCTCACCCAACTTTCAATTTTTCTAATTTACTTACTAAACTCTGCACATTGCGTTATTTTCCTCACTCCACCGTTAAGTGTATAACACCATTATGACGTGGAATTGTTTAAAGTTTTCAGCTCGATGACATGGGATAGTTGAATAATAAAGACATCGATGACGTGGAATAGCTTACAACATTAGATTGCATAATTTTGTCATTTATTTAAACTCATGTGTGAAATCTCTAACCCTAAACATTCACGTTGAAAAGGGAAACCATAGAAAAGAGGGAAAGGGGAAATAGGCCGAGCAAGGAGATGCAAGAAATGTCTGCCTCAAATTCTGTTCCGATTGCAGGTGTGGAATTCTGACAATGATGAAGACAGCATGATCGGACGATAACCCTAGAAGACAATTTTTTTGGTGTAATAATTACGACAATTGGTGGCGAAAATCTTGCAATTTTTTCAATGGTATGAGCCACCAATGAATATTCGTGCTAAGATTGTTGTGGGTGGCCTTCTAAGAAGAATCAGAATAATTGAAAAGAAAAGAATAAACGAGAGAATTATTTGGGTTGTTACTTTGATCTCTTGTGTTTTGCTAACATGCATTTTATGTGGATGAAGATTGAAGATGGGCAATGAAGGTTGGGGATGATTCTGGTAGTGAAGTGGGTATAATTTGAAGATGATTTTGGTGTTGAAGGTTAAGATGATTTTCTGGTTTTTGGGTTTTTGAAGGATAACTTATAAAATGTGGTGGATTTAGTTAAAGTAGTATGAATGTAATTAATGGTATTTGTTTATCCATTGATATTTTGTTAAGGATATTATGTTAACTATTTTGAATGTATTTTGGATGAAATGTTAAGGTAGCTGTTTATTGAAATTTTGTTAAGGATATTAAGTATTATGAATGAAATGTTAAGTATTATGCATTTTGTCAATGGTATTTATTTATCCATTTATAAAAAGAAGAAATTGAAATCACATGTTTAGACCCTAAATCTTACATTGAAATCATATGAAAAGAACAAATATTTATAAAGTTTATGTTTATGTTTATATTGATTAAGTTGCTCATATGTTCAAACAACAGCATGTACAACCATCTCAAAAAGTGATCAAACCTAACTTTGTCAGAAAATGCATATTCATCGGTAGCAGGCATTTCCCAAATATTCCAAAAAAATTACAGCATATGACACAATTCACAAAATATGATTGTCACAAAATGCACAAAGTTGTTGTAGCACAAAAAATGTAGACTCCATCTCCATTGTTCATTTTCATTTCCACCTAGGTCTCTTTGAAGTAGGATCTTCTGTTGGAGGTTGGTTGGCAGTGGTAGAGCTCTGCTATGAATACATCATCCAATTCACTATGTTAATTGAGCTCTGTGTGTTGTGGCTTCTTTCTGTGTTCTGACTCCCTTGATTCTGTTGGATAAGACCTTCAGGATTGGACATTATTGATCTCCTAATCTACAAATGAGGAAAAGTCATGCACGTTAATTTTTTTCATACATATAAGAAAACTATTTTGACAAGATTTACAGTGAGTTTGGGTTTTCTATTTACTCGTGCATGTGTGCTTACATCAACTTGTGGTTGAGGGTGGGGTTGGGTGACAGTATTATCATGAGGATGCATTATCCATCTTAAAATGTTGATTGAGCCTCGGCTTCCTAGGTGGCTGTGAGTTGTACCTATTGCATTGGTCTCCCTTGGTCGCCTCCTAACCTAAAAAAAATGTAAGTGTTGTTAATTAAAAATTATAAATTTTTTTAAATTTATTGAAAATTGAATTTAAAACTTATAGGATTTTTGTGAGGCGGTACAACAGGTGTTTCCACCAATTTTCCCTATACAATACCTCTTATTGGGGCTTGTATTTCCACATTTGGTACATTTCATTGTTCTTACCCTTATACTCAATCTTTCAGTTGATGTTACTGGTTTATCAGGCTTCTTTCTTATATTCTTTTGTGGTCTTCCAATAGGCCTTCTAATTATAGGGGTAATATATACTCAGTTGTAGTGTATTGAGCCCATTGCTTTGGACCTCTAATTAGTCTGACCACGTTTGCATATATACTCAGTTGAGTACTTTTGAAGTAGTAGCTGCTAACATAAGATTCAAGCCTCTCTTGGTTGAGCATGATAACAGATGCAGCATGGATACAAGGAGTCCCTACATAATGTAAACATAAGTAAATTGTATATAAATTGATGTAAACAATTAAATGCATTATACCTATAAGGTCCCATTTTCTACAACTGCATCATTGGGATTGCAAGTCTACAACATGTTGATCTTGAAATCCAGCAGATACCTCAAATTTATGTCCACCAGCATACTTAGGCTAACACCTTCAACCAATAATGCAGTTAACACATGTTTCAAGTAAATACATTCAATCAACACAGGCAGATTACAATTAACACAGGCAGATTGCAATATTCAAACATTAACATCAGTAAACACATGGAAACTAAATAGTTAACAATTACCTTATGGATCCCATAATTGCATTATCATTTTTTTTAATTTTGGTACAAATTGGACCAATCATCTTTTCATCATTCTCCTTCTTCGTAGCAATTCTTTGCATGATCTTTGATCGAATCATCTCCATCATGGTCAAAATTGGCTTGTCCCTCGCTTCCAAAATCATCTAAATTAATACAATAAATTGGGAGCATGTCGAAAATTTTACAAGACAAACAAAAATAGTATAAAATTTTGCACTTGCACAATTATTTTTACCTTGTTAAAGCTCTCGGATAGATTGTTGAGGAACATATCAGACTTGCATCTTGTTGAGAAATGTGACTTTGACCACAGTGAAGGATCATTATTTTGCAACCAATCAAATGCATCTGTTGACAGTGACCTCATTTCATGCATTGCATCAGTAAATTCTTTCATGTAAGATGCTCTTGCATGCTTCCATAAGATATATTTCAGTGCCTTTACTTGATTGCTCCTCTTGGACTTAAAATTGGAATACAAATACTTCACACAAGTTATGTGCTCAGCATGAGGAAATATATCTGCAATTGCCTCCACAAGACCATGCAAGCACCCATTTTCTAGTCATTAGTAATTGACAGAACATAATTTTTTAAATTAAATAAAAATCAATTTTGACATTAATTTAAGTTACCTTCTATTTATCTGACAGGAATGTGTAGTAATGAGAGTTTGTTAACTCCAAGTCTGATTCAAAAAGTTGTAAAAACCAGCACAAAGAGGAATGTTTTTCACTCTCAACTACAGCATAAGCCAAGGGGTATATACAATCATTTGCATCAACTCCAACTACTGTAAGAAGATAACCTTGATGATGGCCCTTAAGAAAACAACCATCAAGGCTAATAATTGGCACGCATCTTACTTTGAATCCATCTTTGCATGCTTGAAGACATATATATATTCTAACAAAAACCTATTATATAGATGGTATATAGTTGTTATCACAGGGCATTTTTTACGTCTTGTCTTAGGGAACTAGTATAATAGTTAAGGTCAACCCTAAATTTCTCGAGATATTCTTTAGCCAACCACTTATAGGTACAATTTTTATTCTTCAAATCTCTAACAAAATTATGCTCTCCAGCATATGTCTTAATCTACCAAGTTGAGTCAGTCTCATCTTTGGGATTTAATCTTGATCCCAAATCATCCATAGACACTTAGTCTTACACGCAACATGGATTCTTCTAGGATCACTTACCTTAAACTTCAAATTGTACCTATTTATTATTGCATATTGTCTAACAGCTGGTTTAATAACTTCTCGATTAGAAAATAACTTTACTTTGCTAGAATTGGGACTTTCTAAGTTAACCTCACCATTGAACTCGGGCCATTTGCTTATTTTACCCTCAGTTTCAGACTTATAAGCATTGTCCAATGACTCTGAACTCTCATCTTCACTTTTCAGGCCCTCACTATCATTCCCTACAATAAATTCGGGTATATCTAGCCCTACAGGCACATCACATATGTAACCATTACTCAAGTCATTATCACTATCCTCAAACAAACTGTCAAAATTTTGAGTATCAGAAGCTAAAAATTTTGAACTTTCATCCTCATTCTCGGTCAGAAAAGTTTCATCAATCCTAACAGTTTGACCAACCCTAACAGTTTCAGCAACCCTAATAGTTTCAGGAACCCTTACATTTTCATCAACCGTAATAGATTCGGCCACCCTTACATTTTCATGCACCCTAACAATTTTAGCCAAGTTAATTTCAATATCCACTATTGGTTCAGTTTCAATTGGGCCAAGTTCAGTTTTAGCCAAATCAATTTCAATATCAACATTTGGTTTAGTTTCAATGGGATCAAGTTCAGTTTCAATAAGAGCAACACTTTTTTCATGTTCCA